TAAAAATTGATCATCAATGCTTTTATAAGGAATGCTTTGATCATAAAGGGGGAAATAATATCTTGTCTACAAAAGCAGTTCTTTAAAGTTTCACGGCCTTAAAGGGGGTACTCATGGCTTGGATGAGACATCCTGTTCCTAAACAAAAGATTTATAATTGATCAAAAAATTTTACAAAGATTAGATGCTTTGGAAGCAGTGATGTCCTGGATGGGTGAACACCAACAAACTCTTTGAGAACCCTATTCCGGAGTTTCAACTACTGGCAATAACACCCTAATTCACACCGCCAGGAATGATGCCAATGCAACGGCCCTGAGAGACATCGACATCATCAGTCCCCACCTGGGATAAATTAAAAGGACTTGCCATGCTAAAATGATATTAACATTAACAAAATGTCTTTGTCTTAACTGTGAAACCTTGATTATAAGCGTTTGCTTTTTCTTTTAAAAAAAATAAGAACGGGGAAAATGTGGTGTACACTAACATTAATAAAGCAAATGTATTTTACAGGGCCTAGCTTCCAAAGCCCTGTAATTTCAGGTATAGCCTAACTTTTTAGAATTACACATAGAAATGTTAAGCTTGAGAAAGACAGGAAATTTTCCCCAAGCTAAAGTCTCTGTTGTAGATAAAGAATTGTAACACCAAAATTGCTGGCTCCAAGGGTAGATGTGCTTGGTGCAGCTAAACCTAATGACTATTGCCATGACAATTATCTTACCATTCCTTTTGTAACCACCTATGTTCCTTTTCTGTAACTTTCTGGGCCAGAGAATAAATACTAAGAGAAGACCCTAGTTCAGTGTTATTTTCCAAGGAAGAATGCCTCTCTCTTGAGGGTTCCGGGAAATTAACCCCTTCAGGGCTTCTCACTGCTCAGAAGAAATGGGCTTTGAGTAATCCTTTGCGTCTCCATCACCCTGGGGAAGAGGTGACACAACTGGGCACATACAGAAGACAGCCTACGAGATAATGATGCCCTCAATAGGCAAGTGCAATCCTCAGACGTACTGCCCAGCCCACCTATTACATAGACTAGGATATACTGAGAAACTCAATCATAAGGCAGGTTTAGCCTAAATTCACCAAACTGGAATCTCTGTGGGTAGGAAACCCAAACACACAACACATTACAAAACCAAACAGAACAGATTTTTGGATAATGAAGTGCCCTGTGGCTTTAACATTTCTCCTACAGATAATTGCCTGATGTACTACTGAGTCTGGTGGGTCCTTAGACTTGCAAACCACTGTTCCCAGCTTTGTCCACAATTACGGTGCATGGCTCTGCACTTAACAGACAAACATCAAGCACTTATCCTCAATCCCTTATTCAAAACCTTTGGAGCCAGATGTGTTTCAGAATTCAGAATTTTTGAGCTGTTAATACTTTAGTATATCTAAGGAGCATGTACTATATGAGGACCCCAGGGAAATCTAGAGTAGCACCCTACAATTAAAGAAATTAATATTTCTTCAGCAAAATTTATGAATATTCAAGTGGGATCAATAAAAATTATATATAGTCTTAAATGAGGTCAGGTCATGTTTTGCTTTTAAATAAGTTTTGTATCCAAACTTAAAAAAAGTAAAATAAAACAGTTGTCAGTGTTTTTTACTTTTCAGAAATATAGATGAGGGATTCAGAATCCATATAAAAAACACTATGCTCCAATATCTATTAAAAGTTCATGGGATACTGTCACTGATGGGACTGTATCATATCCCCCAAGGATACCAAGGTAGAAAAGGGGCCTAAGAACCACTGTAAAACTCAAAAGGAATTTAGGAAGGAGGCACATGCAGAATCCAAGAAATGATAAAACTAGCCCAAACAGAATGCAGTGGAAAGAAATCCCAGCATCTCAAGGGTGCCACAGGTATGGGAAACAATCAGCTCATATTGGAACAGAAAGTCAGAGGCCTCAAAGAGTATCCTCAAGAAAACAGTGAATTCGGGCGGGCCCAGTGGCGCACTGGAGAGTGCGCCGCTTGAGAGTGCGGTGGCGCTCCCGCCGAGGGTTCGGATCCCATGTGGAGACCGGTTCCCGCTCACTGGCTGAGCGCGGTGCAGGCGCAACACCGAGGGTTGCGATCCCGTTGCCAGTCCCCGGTACGGGCGCAACACCGAGGGTTGCGATCCCGCTGCCGGTCAGTAAAAAAGACAAAAAGGAAAAAAAAAAAAAAAAAAGAAAACAGTGAATTCAAGCCAGTAAATATTCTGATCCAGAAACTGGCTAATCTGAACTACAGGTAAAAGCATATGCTTCTTTTGTCAACAAGAAATAAAGGCAATTAGAAATTCAAGGATAAAAAGCTGTATAAATAAATTCAAAGCAAATTACACCTTGCCTGATTCACAGTAACTCTTAGAGACCACCTCCACTTGCTTAAGCCAAATACTTTGGAATCATCCTTGAGTCCCCTCTTAATCTCATCCCAAATCCAATCTGTCAGATATCCTGTTAGCTCTATCTGTAAAACAGATCCAGAATCCCACCACTGCCAGCCCACTGTCCAGGCTACCATCATCTCCTGCAGGATATTACAACAGGCTAGAGAGTCTCCCCACTCCCAACTTTGTCCCCTTAATCAGTAATCAGAGGGATCCTATTAAAACAAAGAACAGATTATGTTCCTCCTTGATCAAAATCCTCCAATGATTTCCCATCTCATTCAGAGTAAAACCAAAGTACTTACTCTGACTTACAAGGCCCTATATGAACTGGCCCCCATGACCTCCAGGCAAACTCCTGCCTTGTGAGGCCTTCCCACTGGCACATCCCTTTGCCCAGACCCTCCTCCCTCAAGTCTTAGCTCTCATATCACCTTCTCAACACTGATTGTCCTAATGAAAACTACAACTACCTCCTGTCCTACGTCTCTCCCCATACTCATCCCCAGCTCTCATTTTTTCATTACACGTATTACTTTTCTATTATAATTTACTTATTTATTAATTATTGTTTATGGTCTATCTCTCCCAACTAGACTGTACGTCTAGGAGAGCAGCATGTTTTTCGTTAATGTATGCAAAGTACCCAGAACAAGGCCTGATCTGTAGTAGAGGCTCAATATCTGTTGAATGAATGAATAAATGAAAAGGACTCCTTTGTCTGTGATATTTTGAATAATTCTCCTTTAAACATCAGTATTATGGTTCAGAAAATTACATTTCCTTTTTTCTGATTCCATCACAATTATTAGTTCTTATTGTAAATACTGCTTATAGATTTACTTTTAGAATTTACCTATAGATAAAGTATGGACAATTTAAATATTAAGCCCTTACCATTATAAAAATGATACTATGAAAGATGGAGGCTGAAGGTAGAAGGAAAAATAGAAACATTGAAATGTACACCCAACATAATCAGAAACCAAGAGAAACTATTTTACATTAATGGATGAAAAAATAGCAGCTTAAGTAGGTTAAAATTATACAGGTGACCATAAGAAAATGGATAATAATTAAAAGACTGAAAGATTGAAGAAAAAGGGGATGTACTGAATAGCATAGGTAAGCTAATTTCCTATTGTCATTAGACTTTAATAAAAAAGAGACACATATATAGTTGGAGATGTGGAAGTCACCACCGTGAAGAATCTGCAACCTAAACAGTTGAAGATGATTCTTTCCAGGGAATAAAACTGGGGTGTAGAATGGGTAAGGGGAAGATACATCAACTTTATGTTTTGTTCCCTTTGGTACTATTTGAATTTTTTTTAACTTCATAGATATAACACCTACATAATAAAAATAAACAAGAATAAAAAAATCTACCTCTAGATTTAGCCCGGTAGGGGAGAAGAGAGCCACACACCTGGGCTCCATTGCATTGCCTCCTAGGGAAGATGTTCCCATTCAGGTTGCTTGATGAGACACCACAATCCAAGAATGACAGATGGTGGGGATGTAAAGCCTTGCTATTCATGGTGGGTCACTGATGAGCACAGTATCACTGTGCTAAACAATGTCCTCTTTAATAAGGAGCCTTGAGAACTGTCCTTTGGTCTTAATATTAACAATTCCCCATACTGGCCAGCAAGTAAAATTGTCCCTGCAATTCTGAGGGACACCAATTTTGCTTTGACTATGTAGAAATTGTGAAATGGTTAATTTATCATTTTTTCTCTTTTTGTTAACTGTCAGAAAGCTTAGAGCCAAATCTTTGGCACACCCTAGGAAAACAAAGCATTTTGTGGCCCATCACTCATGTGGTAGCCTTATCCCCAACTCTGCCCTTTGTCCCCACTTTTTTCTTTTTCCTTTGCTTCATTTTTCCACCATGACTGCTTCATATGCATAATTTAAGCAATCTTTAGTCCTTTTGAAAGCATTTTTTTCTTGGGGGATGGTAACGCTTCAGAAAAATGAATAGAGTAAGTTACAGAATCATACAGGTGTGAGTTCACAAATCTCTCTTCTTACACATAAGGGAACTGAGGTCCAGAGAAGGAGTGGCTTGCCTGAGGACACACAGCTGCCTACTGGCAAGGCTGGGAGCAAACTGGGTTATCTCAAATAACCTAATAAACAGCCAAGCCCCTGGTGAGCTATGAAAGACTAGGCAGGGTACCCTCAGGAGAAATCTCTGGCAAATAAGCCCATGCTACCTTTTCTGGATGACAGGTAAAGTGAGGCTCTGCCTTACACAGAGGTAACAGGAAGAGAAAGATTCTCCTTTCCTCCTCCTAATCAACCTCCACCCAAATGAGCTGTCTTTGAAAAGAGATAGAAACTAAGTAGTCACTAGAAACCTGATTTAAAAAAAAAAGTATTAGAAATAGCCTTAACATTAAACTGTTATATGCAAGCTGTGTATGTAACATTGGCTTCTTTCAGCCTCAGTTTCGTAAAATAGGTGTAATACCTGTTGAAATGAAAATTAAAAAAATATATATATAAAGTGTCCCACATAAAGTAGACACTCAAAAGTTAGTTCTCTTCTCCCTCACTTTGGGTTCTTACATAGCTAACCCTAGTAACTTACATTTTTTGACCTATTGTAGAGTTTTCCTGAAAGAGCAAATCAACGTCAACATCAAAGTTGCAAGTGGTGATGCACCAAGTCATTCCTCCTACTACCTGCAAGACACAAACAAAATACTTGTTTTCTCTAATTTGGGGAGAAGAGAAGAAGTAAAAGGTAGATAAATCTTACATAGTTCTTAAAAACTCTGTAAACATACAAAATTATATATCTTTGGAGAGAGAGAGAGAGAGAGACAGAGACAGAGACAGAGAATGTGTCCTCCTTACCTATATTTCATCTAAAATAGCCTGTTAAATTTTTCTGCAGTGGTGGAAATGTTTTATATCTGTACTGTCCAATACAGTAGCTTCTAGCCACATGTGTATGGCTTGAAGTATGGCTAGTGCGACTGAAAAACTGACTTTTATTACTAAATGGACATATCATACATAGATCCTCTTCACAGTGAAGAGAACAGATGTTAATTCTCAGCTGAGAGAAGTTTTAACCCAGTTTCAGGAAGGTGTCAGATTCCAAAGGAATTACATATCTTACAGACCAGATGTAGGCAGCAAGGCTGACATTTTGTGGCTCAGTACTTAATTTCCGTAAATCTCATTTTTCTCATCTACCTAATGGAGTTGAGGATCCCTGCTCTACTTTTCTTACAGCATTTCTCTGAGATGCAAATGAGACTAAGGCTAAAAACCCCTTTTGAAACAAAAGCCTTTTCAGACACAGCTGGATACTAGAAAGAACAACAGTGAATCTTACCCCTGGCTGTCTGTGTTTTAGACTCATGTGAGATGCCTGATAAAATACAGATTCTAGTGCCCCAGCCCAGATTTAACAAACCAGAACTTCAATGGGGGAGGCCTGGATATCTGTATTATAAAACAACCCAGGGTGATTCTGTTATGTGCAGCCAGGACTATACTGACTGCAGCACTCAGCTCTGGCTTCCCAGAGTTTTCCTGACCTGCCCTGTCAAGATTTGGATGCTTCTTTTCTGTGCATAGTCCAGTGTAGTACTTACTGCACCACACCATTTATTCTATGCATGTTGGTTCATTTGTCTCTCTTCCCTACTCAATAGAAGTCATGTTCTTTGAGTGCAGGGCTACCCTCTGTACCCTCTCTTTATCTCTGTACCCTCAACACCTATTTACTAAGTCTTGTGCATAATAATTGTTCAAGGTTCTGCTAAACTGAAAGACACCATTCCATAGTGATTACTCCCTTCTCCAAACTCAGAGCGTTTACTATACATAGAATATCTGTCAATGGTCTGTGAGCCCATTGACTTGGGACAGCTAATTATTAACTCTGATTATTTTACTTTACATAAACCCTATAATCCCCACCCAAACTGTAAGTTCCTTGAAAGGAAGAACTATTTCTTTTGCTTCTTTGCCTTTACTAAAGCTTTGTGCACAGAAAGGGAATTCAACCATATCTACTGAAATACCATTACTTTCTTTGAGCAGGAAATTTGAATACTTACATAATGAATCTGAATTAGGTAAAAATGAAAACATGGAAATGGAGAAAGTAGAAACACAATCTTTTCCTCCTTTCTCTGCCACAGTTAAACCATGCCATCCTGACAAAAACTAATGGTTAGAAAGGTTTCCTCTTACCTTGTCAAAAGGTGACAAGCCTTTAATTCTTGCCCTGAAATACCCAGCTGCAACCAAGAGTTCCAGAATTTCAGTCAATTTGACATTTTGTTCTTCATCTTCTCTTGTTTCCACCTAAAACAAAAGGTAACAGTATGGCTGTTAAAAGCTATCTTGAATGAAGGAAGCCAGGTATATCTGCTGATGCCACAATCTCACTGACAAGGAGCAGGTAACATTGGCTTTATCACTGCACTAGATTCTCTGCAAAAATTCAGCAAGCATCACACAGATGTACATGGACAGTGCTGCCGGAGGCCCAAAGAACAAGGTCCCCAATGAGTTGTTAATCGTCATAGCTGGGGGAGAAGACTATTCATCACATGCTGAAAGAATCCAGGGAAAAGGAAGATTAGAGCACATTACCTCCCTTTTCTCTAACAGATGGTTTACTTAACAGGCTTCTCGACTAGATTATAAGCTCCTTACAGACAGAAACAAGGTTTTTGTTTTGTTTTGTTTTTAAAACTTATACTCATCCAAGTCCTGGAAGTTACTGACAAGAGGGGTAAGAATGAAGAAGGGAATTCAAAAATGTATCCCTCTCTGCACTTCCCTTTTTGACCTCTAAAGCAAATATAAGGAAAGCTTTCAACCCAAGTATATTAAAGGGTGATTACTGCCACAAATAGGAGTGCTTTAAAAATAATGAATTCATCTAATATATGTGAACTGGGATTTGATTTAAAATTTTTAATTTATATCTTCTCTTCACCCAGATGTTTACTTATTACCTAGATCTGTCTAATATTTTAGTACTTTTGCATTCATTTACTTTTATGAATTGCCTTTCCTCTTTTCTATTATAGCAGAAAATCAAAACCACTTTTCTATACAAAATAACACCAAAGTATCCTGGTTCTAATTCTTGTACTCATCTCTGATTACCCAACAATGCCTGCTAAATATTTCTTTACTATGCATCTCACATTTATCCTCCCTTCCCTTTTATCCACATTTCATGCCAGGACTATTGCAATTGCCTCTCAATCTTTCTTCACTGATAAGTTTGTCTTGCTCACTCCTTCCTAAATCGCTGCTTTCACATTATCCCTCTTCAACTTATCCCCCAGCCCTCATCATCAATGCATCATACACTGTCTATTACATCACACACTTGTCTATATGATACACTCCAAATTTCTTGGTTTGGCATTCAGATCTTTGGCTAATCTTTTGGCAATTTATCTTTTCAGCTTCATCCTTTGTCTCCCCCCAAAACAATCTGGACACAGCTATGACCAGCCTAGACAGGTATTGCTTGTTCCCATTTCTTCACTGTTTATACCATCCCCCATCTCGATATTCTCCAACCATCCAGAAATCACCTTCAAATTCTAGTTCCTATTTGATGTCATCCCTTAAAAATCCAGTCTAAAATGGCTATTCCTCTGCATTTCTATTTTATTTATAATCCATGCCATTCTTACAATTGAGTATCAACCACTTCTGAGTGACATGTCTGGTATTATGTACATGTCTGTCTTTCCAACTGACTATTGGCTGATATTAGGTGAGGGCTTATATATTATACACTTAGTTTGCTCCTCTGTACCAAAACAGCATTAGGCTCAAAGGACACACTTATTAAATATGAATGGCATTCAATCATTTCATAAAGTATATGACCTAAACCAGTCATGCATTAACAAAATGTTTTCACAGTCATGAGGTTGATAATGGAAATTCAAGTTTATTTTGAAATACAAACTGCCAGGAAAGGGAGTATACACACTAACATATAGTTGAACGGGGAATTACTAAAGTGACTGAATCTTCTGAGATGGGGTAGCAGTAGAGTGGGAGGGGCGACAGCCTTGAGCCACTGCTCATTTTACTTCTCTCTCTCCCAAATTATTATGGTTCAGCCTATCGAAGATTCTGAAGATTAGCATTCACTAGTTCCTAGTGGACATAAAAAATAAAGTAATATTAATTACTCACACCTGCAAGTATCTAGTAGGGATGAAAAAGATCTACAAGTGAAGAGACTCAAAGAAAAGAGAAGCTGAAGAGCAGTTATGGTTCACAAGGATACAGGATAAAAGAAAATGGGATGATATTTTCTTAAAACTCTTGTGATATAAAACAGGAACCCTTCATTTGCTCAATAATCAATTACCATGAAAACATCACTTATCATGAAAACACTTCCAAGAAGAGGGCAATACAATATGGAAGGATAATCCCTGCCTCAACTCCTCTCTAATGAGCACCCACAGGCCACCCCTTTGCAGAGGCATGGCCCAAGCTTCTCATCCACTCACTCCTAGAATGGAGAAGTTTACTTTTGCAATATAACCTGTAAAATAACTTTTTGGAACAAGACACTGAATGGGAATATGTGACTCCAAATTCACTTTGTAGATTAACACTGAAGCAAAATGGAAAAGGGCCACTGGCTAATACACAAGGAATGAAAGACATCCTCTTTGAAGACATAAAAAGCCACCAAGGTGGTTAATACATCCAGTTGTTAAAACTAAAATTCTGATAAAGATGAATGACTGTGAGCTCTTAAACCAGGCACAATAAACTTTCAATTGCCTTGCACTGCAGTTCATGTAAGCTGAAAGGCAGGGCCAAATCTAGATATCCTTCTGATCCTCACATACGTAAAGGGTGAAAAAAAATTTAGTTTAAGTAATTAACTGCACTAGTGACAGCCAGATGACACAGACTATCTATATTCATATGTACTGGTCTTTGAACTAAATGATAATAATTTGATTATATTCATCCTGACTGCCTCCTCATTGCCAGGAACTGCCTGAGGCTCTTGGAAAACAATGACAAATCAGACCCAGCCTCCTAGCTGTCCATGAATGGTTAAACAAAGGACGACACACCCGAGCAGGTTGCTTTTTACTTTAGAAAAGACCACCATCAGTAGTACTGTGAGACATTGGGTTGGAGGAATTTAAGGTAGACCGGACAGGAGTCTACAGTGAAAGGCCTGGCAAAAACTTGATGGGAGCCTAGAATAACGAAGTAACCAAAAAAACAGCAACAACAACAAAAAAAGGCAAAAACAAACATATAGAACCCTTCAAATATCAAAGTATAGATCCTACTCTTCACAATACTGGGTCCCAAAAAAGCAACATGCATGTGAGGTTTTACCTAACACAAGGGTTCTGACACCATCATGCTTGTTACGTTTTCTTAAGACAACAAAACAGACTTACATTCTGGGAGCACACACTGAAGTGTCTTCCCATCACTATATCCCCAGCTTCTGGGCACAAAACACAGTAATCCCTTAATTAGTGGGTAGTGGTGGGGTGAAAGGACTGAGGATTTGGCAGGGGCACAAAGAGGCAAGAGTGGCCACAGGCGGTTAAGTATGAAGGGCCCACTGACCATGTCAAGGAGTCAGTCCCCTAGCCAAATGCCTGCTTTAGAACCTTAAGCGTAGACTCCATTTCTTTCCAGAATCTAGTCTAGTAAACTATTCTAGCTTTTGAGTAAATCAACTACAAGGGAAGACAGATGCAAACTAGCTAAGTGGTATTTGCAGCCAAAAGAAAATGAATGCACTTCCCCCTTATTCCCATCAAACATGGAAATCCAGAAACCACGGACCAGCCTGTCCCTAGCACCAATGAGTACTTAATAACACCTCTGGAAAAGCACCCGCTATCTTCTGAAGCAGCAGCAACGTTTCCTCCCAGGGCTCCGTCCCAGCCACACAGCACCACTGGAGAGTGCGTCCCCACCCGAACACCGCGGCGGCTGACCTAGCCGGTCACAACCCCAACGCACGCTTGGCTCCAAAACTTCCTCCGGCCGCTCGGCCCCGGGTAAATGCAGGGAGTGCAGCATTCCCTCTGGACACCAGGGCGGGTGGGGCTGTTCGTCGGGACCCCGCGGGCCCCGCGAGGTGACGATAGGCGCCCCAAGGTCACCGCCCTGTGCACAACCCAAGCCCGGACCGTCCAGGAGCGCGCGTCTCGTGACTCCTGCGCGCAGCAGCCTCGGCCCTCCGGGCTAGCCCTGCGGCGCCAAGGGATGGGGGTTTTGCTCGGCACAGCGGGAGAGGTGGGAGCCCGGGGTCCCGCGACGCGTGGGGCTGAGTAAGGGCAGACGTCGGGCTCAGAAGGCCACCTCTGCCCCAGGGGACCCGAGAGCGGCTGAAGTTCGTCTCCACCCACCCACTACCCCCTCGCCCAAGCAAGGGGACGACCTGCTCTCCTCCCTCCGCGGACAGGGCCGGTGCTTCCCCGCGGTGGGCACACCTGAGGAAGGGGGCGGGGCTCCCCAAGCGCACCTGGGGCCCCTCTCTGCCCGCCACCCCGCGAGCTCGGCCCTCTCCTCAGGAACCTAGACGTGTCAGGGATAAACGGATCCTTACCTCCGCGAGACCCTGGCCCTCCGGCCCTTTGGGCAGCCCCATGATCCAGCCGGACTGACGAGCTGCAGCGGTGAAGCCTGCAAAGCGTCGGAAGCTGTTCCTGCCGCCAAGCTGCTACCGGGGTGGAGTGCAAAGCGGAAACTTCCTACGCCGCTGCCGCCGCAGCCGCAGCCAGCCCCGAGCGCCGCCGCCCGGCGGAGCATGCGCGCTGAGGCGGGAGCGCGGCGCGACTGCGCCTGCGCGACGGCAGCCCGGGAGAGGCTGGGCCCGGCAATAGGATTCTGCATTGTGCCGGAGTTTTGTGCCGAGGCTACTAATTTGTCTCCGAGGTGCTTCATGAGAAGGGTTATTCCTGCATCTTAGGGACATTTTGCATTCTGTTTCCCTTTCCTGCTTCTCAGGGGCATGTGTGCCCCAACTGAGTCCGGTCCTCTCCGCGAGCTCTTCGGGCGCCCACTCGCTCCCAGCTTAGAGTCTGAGCACAAATGAGCTTGGGTTTCCAGACCCAGGCCTGATTCTAGCCCTGATTAACGCACACTTAGGCAAACTTCTCGGTGTACGGACCAGGAACGGAGCCTGCGAGAAAGGATTTTTCACGCCCGCTGCCCTCCCTAGCTTCCTGGCCGGTGGCATCCTGATCCCAGGAAACCTCGCTTGGAAAAATGACCCCCACCCCGCCACATCCCTGGTTTTTGGATCTTCCTGAAGAGGGACATCTTCGAGAATGCGGACTTCTGTGTTTACGTCATATTAGCTGCCACATCACTTACATGATGTACACCTTGTCTGTCCCAGAGGATGTCAGCTATATAGAATGGTCTCCCTGGCCATACGCCCGCACTCGCTTCATAATGGCCTCCCAGCTTTTTTCCTTTCTTTTCTTTTTTAAGCCACTTAGAACGAGGCGACTTATGTGAAAACTTACGTTAGAGAAGAGACCCTTGCCTCTGTATGTGTGTAAGGGAATGGGGAAAGTGTGAGACTACGAGCTCCTTGAAATCAATGATGTTTTATGTTTGCTTTTTCCTCCTCTTTGCATGCCTAGCATTTTAAAAAGCAGGTATTCAGTAAGTACTTATTGTTGAAGAAATTATTTGTTCCGTTTGTACTCCTGGAGTTTATCCTGACAGAACAGAGTTTTGTCAGGAATCAAAGCACGCAAGTAGGGGCCCTAAGAACGCCGTTTCCTTCTTAAATATAAGCAGCAAATATTTCACAAAGCTGTGTGCTACCTCCCCACCTCTGGTCCAAATAATTTTAAAAATCTGAATATGTACGTTAAGGTGTTGAGATAAGAACCCTTCTGTCTGTGTTACATGACATCTTGCTGTCACCTAGTGTAAAGTCAAAATAAAACTCAATTTCTAAAGTGCCCACTCTCATAACTTCTCAAATGTGTTATTTTTATAGCCTTCAAACTGTCCTTCACTGAAATGGTATAGGTTGAGGAGGAATAGAGGGTGATAATCATTTGTGGCCACTGTAGGGTGACCAGACAAGTACTGACGCCTAGGGACAGGTAGCAAAATGTCACATAGCAGGTAAGCCTAAGTAGCTGTATATAAAGCATCCCTGGGATGAAGGCTCAGGGAATGATATGACTCAGGTAGGCCACACCACGTGTCCCCTGTTGTAAATGCTTTTATAATGTTTTAAAAACATGAGAGAATAACTTTCCTAGTAAGAAACTGTTCTATTTTACTATCTGTGTAGTATGGCAGTAGCAGAGTTGGATAGCATGCTTTTTTTTTTTAAAGATCTCAGCAAAGCATCCATGGCAGCAGTCAAGAAAGTTTGAGCAACCCATGTTTGAGAGGGCAACTCCTGCACAGCCTTGGAGCAGACCTTGAATAGACAATGACAGAGAGGGAGGTATGTGAGGAATCTTTCAGATAAATGCATCTATCTCCCCTGCCCTCTGCCCCAAGTACACCCATACACATTCTGTCTCCCTAGTGGGATATTTGAGGACTAGGAATCTATCATTCTGTCCCTCTTCTGCACATTCAGTACAGAGTTATGTGATGGTCTTCTGATTGCAAAATTCTTTGAAGCCTCACAAATACTTTCCAATTCCTGCATAAAAGGGTGCCATCGTAAAGAGCTTCCTGCTATTATCACCTTTATCTTGAATGAAGTTTTCTATAAAGCCTCAATCATTTTGTTCCAGGCTTCTCCCAGTCCTTCTACTCTGGGCTCTTGCTATCACCCAGAAGGGAAATTGTGAGGTCCTAAAGCAGGAAGGGACATTAAAAGGCATCTAGTGCAAAAATGGGTGTTCAGAAAAGTAGAGTGACACAGTGTCCTGGCCCGCGGGATATTCAACGCAGACCCTGGAGGGGGGAGTGGGAATGGGATGGAACAAGAGACGCGAGAAATGGGAGACAAGACAGTATTCTGATCAAGTCTCTCTTATTGATTCTTAGGTTACATCTTATATAGGAAAAAGCAGGCATGCTGCAAAGGGTCTGGAATGTAAAGATATGATAATATCTTGAGAAGAGACAAAGACAGGACATTCAAAGTAAAGGTTGCAGCCCAGAATGTTTATGGTTAAACAGTTTCTGGAGAAGGATAAAAGGTCACTTGCAAATTAACTTGCATAGCCAGGAGCAATCAGTTTCTGGCATAAGCAGATTTCGAGGCAGTTATCATGTAAAGCACGGCCATCTGAGCAGATTGTCACATAGGAGCGGTCTCACAAGAAGGGGTGTGGGGCTTCAGGCCCCCAACAACACAGCTTAGGTCACACAACACATTTGTGGAAGTGCTGGAGCCAGAGCCCCTTTCTGATGCACAGATTCACAGTGTCCTTTTATTTACCCATCCACCCATCCATCCAACAAATCTTACTGAGTTCCTTCTATGTCAGTGGCTCTCAAACTTGGCTGCACATTGGAATCCCTGGGTTCCACCTTCAGAGATTCTGTTTTAATTGATCTGGGGAAAGGCATGAACATTGGATTATTTTGCCTTGGAATATATTGTTTTATATACAACAGATAGTGAATAGTGACTTCACTAAGAGTATATTTCTTTACAGGCACAGTGACATACAAAATTCAAAATCCATAAAGAAACTAAGTGTCTTTAGGTTAAATGAGTTCTTCCTGAAAATTTGTAATTGTATTCTGTTCTACTCTCAAGCAGTAAAATTTTATAATGTACCATCCTATATTTAGCATATCACATTTCTACAGTAAGGGCCGGCCCGTGGCTCACTCGGGAGAGTGCGGTGCTGATAACACCAAGGCCCCGGGTTCAGATCCCGTATAGGGATGGCCGGTTGGCTCGCTGGCTGAGCGTGGTACTGACAACACCAAGTCAAGGGTTAAGATCCCCTTACCGGTCATCTTTTTAAAAAAAAAAATGGAGACAAAGGTAGTGCAAACTAACTTAAGCCCCTCTACTTCTGGGCTGAAAGTAAAAACAACCCAGCATACACGTCCACACACACACTTGGATGAATTCTTCTAGTATGCTTCTCCAAACAAATGATAGCTTTATTAAATAATTACAATAATTTTCATAGTTTTCGCAACCACAGTCTTAGCTACATTAAAAAGGGCTTGTCAAGAACCTAATTACATAGCAATGAATAAACATGCTTGAGAATATCTACTACATTCTCTGTCTCCCAGAGAAAATATTTAACATTTTCTTGGTAAAGTGATTTAATAATTAAACATTTCTTATGGTGGGGAGGAGGGGAGTGGATTTCAAACCTTCACAGATGATTCTAATGAGCAGCCAATTTGAGAAGTTTCTCTGTGCCAGAAACTGTTCTTGGTGCTGGAAATACTGCAGTCAACAAACCAAACAAGATAACTTTTGACAGAACTTAAACACATAAATTAATGAGATAATATTGAATAGAAATACATGCTATTAAGGCAAAAAAACAAAATAAAATACAGTATAATGAGATAGGGAATAGCTGGGGTCAAAGTCTCTTTTAGATGAAGGGGCCAGCAAAAGGAGAACCATTTGAGGGAGAACTAAGTCCCACAAAGACCTAAGGGAAATGCAATTCCTGCAGAACGAACATCTGAGGTGTTCTGGACAATTCCCCTTTAACCTTCTAGATTGGCTGTCAGCCTCTCTCCTTGCTTGCTGCCAAACAAGGCTGACCAGTAAGGGCTTCATCAGCAGGGCCTGGGGTGTGGGTCCTGGGCTTGGGGATCTGAGTTGTAAGGCCTAGGGAGGAGGGTTTCAGTAGTAATTTGGCAAACTGTTATCAAGAACTTAAAAAATATACTTGGATATGATACTCCCACTTCTAGTGCTTTTGTACAAAAATCTTCATCCCAATGTTACTTATGCGAGAAAAACCGAGAAACCATATAAATAGCCCATAATAAGGGACTGTTTAAATATATTATATTATGTCCATTTGGTGCAACATCATGTTCCCAGTAAAAACGTGCATTTCAGCAGGCCATGAAAGAAAAGAATGAGAGATTAGGCTATATAAATATTAACAATTGCTGCCTGTCATAAAATCATTACCTGTGACAAGCATTCTTACAAACGAGAAAGGAAAATTTAGTAGAAAAATGAGTACAAGACTTGAATAGAGAATTCCTAAAAGAAATTGTCACTACACATATGAAAAAAATTCCCAGCCTCCTTTTAAAAAATTAAAATGAGGTATCTTCTTGCATGGAAGAAATAATGTTTTAAGGACACTAAACTAATACCAATAACACTCCCTTGACATTGAGTAAGTTTTGCAACAGTTCTGGAGGGCAATTTGGCAGTTAATTTTTCAGCCAACATCCATTCTGTGCCTACTGTGTGCCAGGCACTGAGAAGGGTTCTCAATGAGGGTGGGTGGAGTGATTCAGCACCCAAGGGTATTTGGGGTTTTCATAGTGACTGGGAGGTTGTCTTAGTCTGTTCTGGCTGCTATAACAAAACACCATAACACGGGTGGCTTATAAACTACAGAAATTTATTTTTTCACAGTTCTGGAGGCTGGGAAGTGCAAGATCAAGGCACTGGCAGATTTAGTGTCTGGTGAGGCCTGGCTTCCTCAAAGATGGCCAGCTTCTCACATCCTCACATGGTGGAAGGTGGAAGGGACCTCTCTCAAGTCCTCTTTTATAAGGGCACTAAT